CCCCAAAACCCCAAAACCCCAAAACCCCGCTTAAAACTGCGATGATTGGAAAAAGGATTAATTTATTATATATTAGCACATGAATATGTCAGCTCGATATTGGGTATTAGTGTTGATAATTCAAAGTGCTTTATGAGCACTTTGAGGAAGCCAACCCCAAGATTTAACAGGTAATTCAAATTAGTTATCTATCTTTCAAACAAGCTTCAGTTTAGAGAATAAAGTTCCTGAGCTAACTCTCTAAAAAGCTTAAACTAATTTTTCTTTAGTGGAGTCTTATTTCTATTCTAACTATGATGCAACAAGATTCACCAAAGTCATCATGGGCGACCAAGGTAGCCTCTATTACTTCGGCAAACTAACCACTGGCGCCAACGAACATGCATTGGTTCTGAAGTATGACTCTTCAGGCACACTAGCCTTCCAGAAAGTGACTGAGTTCGTGCCGATGCCTCAAGGGTTCGAAGTAAGCATGAACGAAACATTCTTATTTGCTCTGCTCGGAATATCAGGAAGTCCAGGAGGAATTGTTGTTCAGTATTCAGGAACTACTGGAGCTATAAATTATGCAAAAATGATATCAATAACCCCGACAATCAATTCAGTTCTCAATGTGGATAGAAAAGGAGCTTCTATTATAATAACTGAGCCCTCAACTTCTTCAAGCATTTACAAGACCTGTCCTGAGAGAGTTGCCCATGATTGAGAAACTATTTTGATCAATTTTTCCCCAACAGGAGTGTCAGGAGCACCTTCCATTATATTTGCAGATAATATTTTAGGATTCTCTTTTTACTTCACGGCTGTTGGGAATACTCAACCCTCTAACTTTTATATCACAAGAGTTAAAAGTGACAGCACTGTAGATAAAACCACAAAAATATAATGACCTTCCACTTCTTGTGATTACACTTTTTCTGATTTTGTGTATGATGAAGATGCTGCTTTAGTCCATGCTGTTACTCAGTTCCACTCCAAAGTTCTGCTCTTCAAGTTTCATGAAACTACAGCAGTTCAGGATGGGATTTTATACGCCACCGACAACAGCTTCACATGCTCAGGTCCAGTGTATATTGCTCAGAGCGGAACCAGCATTGTAATCTCGGCCACATGAACATCAATGTATCTCACAATATTCAACACATCCACTAATTCATTCTCCACAACCCTCAAAGTGGTTGACACCTCATTGACACTGTTCAATGCTTTCGTGGACTCTGGATATTTGAAAACAGTTGGGTACTGGAGTCCGAATGGAGAACACGGCTACATCGGAGGGTACAAAACTGGTAGTACAACTGTGAACAGTCAGTTCGAATCAGTTTCGAGTATTTTTGTGGCAAACTCAAGTTACTCGGTAGTGTCTACCACATTGATGGGTAGGTTTCATTTTAAATGAATATTCATAATTTACATTAGAGTCAAACATATTTTTCTCATACTATTTATAGCTCTGCTTGTAACAGACACTAATATTTTTGATTTACCGATAACAAATAAAGACGAAACTTCAGTCTACGACAAAATAGCTCTGGTACTTCACAATTTAACATTCTCTAGAACACAGCTTCAGTGGATGCTCAAAATGTCAGCTCTGGTGACTCAGTCAGTGTTGCCTCATCATGCTCCATTGTGCAAGGAACAGGCCTCACATGCAGTTTAGGATCATACCTCGGTCAGGCTGTGCCTTCCTGGGTGGCTCTTGAGCCTGCTGGAGATTCTTGAAAAATTTCCGAATCTGCTCCATCATCGGAATCACCAGCCCAGTTTGCTGTCGACTGCGTGTTTGGAACTCTGACATTGCAAACTCCGGTATCCCTTACATTTAGCTCCAGCAGTTCTGGCTCCGAGTCTGAGTGTTCAGTCTCAAACTGCAAAGCTTGCACTGCAGGCTCTTCAGACCTGTGACAAACTTGAGATGATGGCTACAGCTTAATATCCAAGGGAACAGGCTGAGCATCAGCACAAGTCCAGACGACCGTGACTGCAAGCTCAGCCACTTTGGCAACAGGATTTGCAGCAAGCATGACATCACCACAAGGGGCATGGAGCATGGTGAACCAGATCCAAGTGTTGATGTTGATGCCGTTGACTGAGTGATATTTCCCAGCTGATGTTATTAGTTTCTTGACTGGGATGGACTTTGCCTTACTTTCACTCGATTTCATTCCTTTTCCATCAATCCCAGGAATCAAAGAAACCCTTGGGTATGTTGACCACGATCAAACTGACGATTATGTTTACGGTTAGCAATGACGTAATTTTTAGAAATGCAAATTAAATCTGGAAGCACTTTCATCAACAGCTTCTCATTCATCTGAATCATCGGTTTCATATCCATATTCCACTTGTGCTTGTACATCATCAAGAGTAAGTGGCTCAGAGTCTCTATGTGTTGATAGTTGCTTTAGAAGATGTGCAACTCAAAGTTCCTGTAGAAGAACAAGGGTGGAAAGCAAAGGCTGTGCTCTGGCTCTTCGACTTGCTCACTCTAAACATTTACATTCGGTTGTTCATGGAAGTGTTCTTGCTGATGGTACTGTCAAGTCTTAGGGAACTCTACTTTGTGTACAGACTCAGTTCATCCAACGAGTTCATTTCATATTTCTTGAATGTGCCCATTACATTTGTTTGGGGTGCATTTGTAGCTGTTTGAATTTGGCAATGGAAAAAATCCAAAAGTCCTCTCAGATTTGCTAGACAATATTATTTTGTGGAGTTCTTCCAAGGAGTCAGAAACACCTGGAAAGCAAGAGTCTACTCAGCCTTGTTCTTAACCAAACGACTCACTTTGGTAGCTTTAGTGACTCTGTTAGAAGTCTTTCCGATGCTGGCCAAAGTGATCATATTCATCACGATCCAGTTGTCTTGATGTATCACTATTGTCATCCTGAGGCCCTTCGAATCTGTCAGAAACAACATCATTGAGATTGTGAATGAAGTAGTATTCCTGGTCTGATCATCTCTGATGGTTCACTTCAACACAAAAGGGAAGTGGAAGAGCTGGCATGAGAAGATGTACATAAACTTGATACTATCGAACATTTGTCTGATTACGTTGATCTCCGTTAGTATGTTCTTTTTCTAAGTTTAGTTTTCTTGCTGAAAGATATTTTTCTTTGGATCAAGCAAAAACTATTGAAAAAGAGTATCAAAAAGAGTGTCAAGCCAAAGTCTAGCAAAAGAACTGGTGATAATTCTTTAACACCTCACAACAATAAAGTAAGCTTTTTCTTTCAATTTTAGAAGTTTAAAATTGGAAACAAGGGCTCGTATATTGGCAAAAGTAGACTTGAGAGTATAGCTAGGTAAGAGTCCACCTAACTTTTCAGTTCAAAATCTATGAAGGACAGATACAAAGATGCTATCAGCAAAGAGAGGCAAGACTTTATGGATCGTAATGAGAGACTGAAGGCTCCTAGAAGAATGTTTTAGAAAGATGTTTAATGCTTTTCCTTTAATGTTTTGTAAAAAGTTTTTGATAGAATCTGTAAGAATTTTTTATCAATAAGAGATTTAGATAAATACCTGATCAGAGCTGAATTAGATTATTTATCCATATTTTATATATTATTTTCAATTCTCCAATCTTTATTCGGGGTTTTGGGGTTTTGGGGTTTTGGGGTTTTGGGG